AGTTATATCATTCTGCATCATGTCTATAGCACCCATTTTCCTTATTTGCCTATTTTGTACCTTCACTTATATTTGTTTCCACTAGAGGATATTACTGTGATTGGTGAAACATGTTATTGCGTAGTGGAGGTGCATGGCAGGTTTGACATCTCTGAGTTCACCTTGAACTACAGTCAAGTGTGAAAACAGGGGCGTCACAATTATATTTATTAATAATAATATAAATAGGAGTTACTTCTTTATGTTGCAAAGAATATTACTTTGTTCGATAATTAATATCATCTTACTTAGTAATAAAAATTTGGACGTTATAAATTAAAAATACTTTTATTTTGGAAAATTAATTTATATAAAATATTAAGATCCATCAAATTTATGAGACGTAATTTTCTCTTATTTTTCCCAAAATATTTGGTCACTCGCTAGAACATATTAATAATTTATAATGATAATAAAGTTAATAAATATATTATAATTCATTATAGAAGAATTATTAATTGTAATGAAATAGTAAAATTATTTATTTAATAAAATATTGTACATAATTATACTTATTAATAATAGCATAAATAGGGGTTGATTCTTTATATTGTATGGAATATCACCCTTTTTGATATTATAATATCATCTTAGTAATAAAAATTGGACATTATGAATTAAAAATAATTTTATTTAGAAAAGTTACTTTATATAAAAATATTGGATTTATGAAATCTATGAGTATTCATTTTTTGTTGGAAAGTAAATGTCTCATAAATTTTAAGGATCCAATATTTTTATATAAAGTAATTTTCCTAAATAATAGTATTTTTAATTTATACCATCCAATTTATTATTACTAAGATGATATTAATTATCGAGCAACGTAATATTATTTACAACATAAAGTCATATAATGTTAAAAAATACTGCCATTATTTAAGAAATATTGTAATAAATTATGTCCATAACATAAATATTTAATAATAAAAATTGTTTAATTATATCAATAGTGTTACTTAAACTAATGATTACATTATTATTTAATAATTATACTCCTAAATAAATTGTTTAATAATATAATAATAAGCTAATTTAAATAACTATTAAATGTATGTTAATAATAGTATAAGTGTTAATTATAGTATAACTTAAGTTTTTTTAATCAAAGTGCAATTAAATAACTTTGTAAATTGTTTATATATAATTTATTAAATAATATAATATTAAATACAACAACATGTCCACGTGCAAAGCACGTGCATTATACTAGTTTAAAAAAAAAAAGAGAATAAGGAGCTTACCTCTACATGGTCTCTAATTAAACGCTTTCTCAACAACTACAAAGCGACATTTCTCGAATTAAGGAGCTTACATATCCCTTTCTTCATCCTTAGATTATTTAGCCCTAAAACCTTTAAAATAAAAAATAGTAATAAGAAGAGGGACTTTATTTGGCAAACTACTTAAGAGGAAAAAAAATTAAGATGTCATTAAAAACTCTTAAGAATAAGCTTAAAATGTTACAACATTGAACTCCAGTAGAAATTGAAAAAAAAAATTATGCTAACTTGGATAGAAAACCGATACTTTTATCATTAAAAAAACTTGATACCATATACAATTAAGAATAGAGACTTCTATTTGGCAAACTACTTAAGAGGAAAAAGAAAAACATTGATAAGGTTGGTAGCCAAAAAAACTACCATTTGAGATACATAAGCAGTGAAAAAACTAAGATATGATATCAAAATAAGATCCTAAGGGACTTCAAATAAGTTATATCTAACATTTAACAAAAGCATAGCTAGATAATAAAATTTGAATAGCCTAATAATAAATGAAAGGAAAAGAACTTAATTAGTTTAACAATCAATCCCATGTCAATACAAAATAACATTACAAATTGCAAGATGCATGAGGTGTAATACATTCTCCTCCCTGCAAAATAGGTTGGTTATCAAATTTAAAAATAGTGCATTATCATTTCTATTTGTAATACTACTTCTTGGTTGTTTTTCTATCTATCCTTGTAGCATTTCTTGCGTTTATGGTATATTTCAAAATTTTTCTTGATATACATTATCCTAATGAATAGTGCTACCTTTGCAGGAATTTTGTCTTTTTTTTTCCGTAGCTTGTGTTAAGTTGTGATTTCATAAACTCTATTGGCATTTGGAGCTCTAGAATGCATGAGGATAGAATTAAGGAACTTACAACTCTTAAAGAATCAATAAAAAGTTATAAAATTATTACCAGATTATCTATATATCTATGAACAAACTGCAAATTAGAAGATTGATATAATGGATAATTTTTTTAAATGCATTCACTAGGGATAAATACTTTTTTAAATTTAAGGTGATAATGCCAATACTAGAAGCTATTTACTTAAATTTGTGATTACTTCTAAAACTAATATGACAATACAAATAGAAATTTGAAGATAGAAACTGGTGTGCAAGATCATACCAAACTTTTGCAATCTACTGCATTTTCTTTGGTGAAAAAAGATAGTTATCTACAAATGTATAAGAAACAAACAATAAGTTATGATGCTTGAAAAAAACATAGCTAGAGAAAACTAAATATAACATAATTAATCTATACTACTTATAAAAGAGAATACCTATATTAAAACTTTTTTTTTGGTCAATGAAAAAATATATTCATTATACCAAGTATGAAAAATTATAGTACATCAATGTCACATTTTGACATCAAGAAGCCTGGTAACAAAACCCAGATTGAATAAACTATAAACTCTCTACATGTTCACTAACATGATTTGGGATGTTGTCATTCAAAATTTTTGCAAAAATTGTAATCTTCACTACTCGAAAAAGTTTTTCAGGATCTCTAGCTTTGTGCTGAAATATTCTGAGGTTTCTCTCCTGCCATATTAGGTAGACAGCAGTCGACAAAGCCATCCTCTTCAGTTTTTTCTTCAAACCAATCCCTTTTAGATTACTATACCATGATGTTAACTGATTCTAATTGCAGGATTTCCAATTGTAGCCAAGCCAATCTATGATTTTATTCCAAACAATTGCAGAGTACTGGCATTCGAAATAGAGATGCTCACAGGTTTCCATTTGAATATTGGAGCATAAGACACACTGATTAGTACTTAGCATTCCCATTCTACACAGCCGATTCTGCGTTAACA